TATGCCATTCACTATTTTACCCACACTTGTGAGTACCTTATGCCCTCTGCTTGCATTACCTCAAACTGAAAAGTCTAAGTGTATTCAATCTTTCTGAGCATGGAAATGGCTCAATGTTTTTGTTTATTCTTTATTACCACTATATATACCTAATTCTTCTAGATCTGTTTCAAAATTAGTTGAAGAGAATTACACATGTTCTTGAAGATGGAGGCTCAAGGGGTATTTATACAGTGGCATAACATATTCTTGGATTTTCTGCATTTGTCTCCTATATGTCCATGGTCTTTTAACCATCACTGGTCAATAAGTTGCAGAACCATCCATGCTAATTCCAAGATCTCTTTCTGGATTTGCAAGGCATAACTGAGGCTATCATTAGGTGTATGCTGTCAGATCAATCTTCTCAACAAACACTACCTTACATCTATCAGAAATGAATTTGGCCTCCTATTTTGTTGCCCCATCACTTAGTGCTGTGAGATCCCTCTGACATTCCTCACAGTCAGCTTTTGGTCTTGCTACCTGGAAAAATGTGTCAGCGCTTTATTATTCGTCCTCTGTTCCAGATAGTTTATGAGCACTTGGAACGGCAGAGATCCCAGCACGCATTCTCTAGAGGACTCCAGGGGTAACAGCCCTGTACTGTCCAATCTTCTTTTTTTTTTTTTTCATACAGTTTCCAATCTTTACCTAGTCACTACCTAACCACTACAGAATTACACCAGTATAAGTTCCCAAAAGTCTTTGAAACACCAAGTGATTGATGGTGTCACAGACATACTGTATTAGTTAAATCACTTTTTTCAAGTGCCCATCCAGTCATTCAAACAACATGAGCAGATTTACAGGGCAGAACTTCCTGCTGCAGAAGACAACTTGACTCCTCTCTATCATCACCTTTATTCCTGTGAACGAACACTATTCTTTTTTTATAGTTTATACCAAGGTGCCTAATACAGAAACCAGGCTCACTATTAGTTTCCAGTTTCCCAAACGCTCCACGGGCCCCTCTTGAAAAGCCTGACACGTTTACTGCTTTTCATTCTTCCATTCTAAAGGCCAATTTAAGCAATAATTATACACAACCGTGCGTAACTCAGCAACTTCACCACCGAGTTCTTCACAAAGTGAGAACTTTTCCTAGCAATTCATTGTGCAGATTTGCTCCAAAACGTCAACCTTCTGTCAGCTTCCCCCAGCCTGTCCCCCAGAAAGGAGGGCTCCACGTGGGAACTGTTCTGCAGTGAATAGCAATGCAAATAACTCCTTTGCTACGGCTTCACCTTCCCTTAGTTCACGTGTAATATTATGATTATCTATCAGCCCATCGGGATCTCTGGCAGGCTTTCTGCTTTTGACAGTTAGACAAAAAGCTTTATTTTTTTTTTAATGCCCTTTATAAAGTCGTTCCTCAACATTTTTTTGGCCTACCTCATTATGGTTTATATTTAACTTGCCAAAGTTAATGCTCTTTCCTATTCTCCTCATTTGGATACAATTCCTGCTTCAGAAAAATGACTTATTTCTAGAAGCCTTGTTTACTTTACTGTTTAAACCGGTCCTTGTTCATTTTTGTGGCTTTCCTTCAATCTCCACTCCCTTCTTGGACTTTCCCCATCAAAACTGGACACAGTATTCTAGAAGTCTTGGGTTGTGGGGTTTTGGGGGGGTTTGGGTTTTTAATTTTAAATCACTGCTACACAAAAAATTTCTCAACTTATGTGTGTACATGTGAACCTGAAATAGCATTTCAGCTATGATATTTTGTTGAGATTACATGAAGCTTTCTCTGTGTCTGTTTCCAAGACAGAGTTTTTCTATCTTGAAGGTATAATCCTGCATTTGTTCCTCCCAGATGTCTTATTTCATATTGGATGTATTAACATATATGTTGTTGGACTGTGGCCATTTAAATCAGGCAAGCCAGATTGTTCTCTAAAAGTAACCAATCCTTTATTTAGTACTCTCCAATAAGCATATCATTTCCATACTTAACCTCGGATTTTTTCTAGCTAGGATTATTGATGAAGGCATCAAGCGTTGGTAGAATGAGAACCGATCAACTGAGGACCTCATTAAACAAACCAACCAACCAACCAACCCACCCACCCCACACCATTTAGTTTTTCCTTACCAGCAACCACATTTTGAGATTTCTCAAGGCATTGCTCTTTAATCTGTCTAGCGCTTGCTTATGCTTGGTAAAGTCTGAACTCACATTTTTACCATTAAAGAAGCACTTACCAAGAAGAGTTACATCCTCTGAAAAATATTTATTCTATCTCAGCTATTTCCATCATATTTTGCCTATTTACATTTAAAATTGCACTAAAAAGTCAGGAACCTTTAGAATGGGAAAACATTTATTCATTTTATTCATGCTTGAAAACAGCCAAACCAACTTTATCCAAATAATAAAAACAACAACAACAACAACAAAAACCAAAAACACACATTTTATGGTGAAGACCAAGCCTGAAAAACGTCAGCCGCAGAGATGTTGTTTTTCTAATGATATGAGCAACTGAAAACAAAAGCTAGAATAAAAAGAAATCATGCAGCTCAAATTCTTAAATCAATAGGCAAGCTAATTTGGCTTTAAGAGTTCTAAATATATTAAGTTATGATACCTGCTTGGTAATATTAACTTTGCATAGTTTTTTGAGTACAAGAGAAGTCTCAGAAGAGAAAGAATCTTAGAATGTAGCATGGAATTCTTTGCAGAACTACTGGTCAGCCATCCTTACACCAATCTTAGGTAAACTAATGAAATGTCCAACACTGAATTCAATTAATAAAGAATTAAAGGACATCCTGGGGAAAAAATGTCAACCTTAGTAAGGTTTAGGGTTCATGTTAGAGAAGCAACTGAACATAAATCCACAGCGAGATGCTGTCTTCAGAACTATGAATATGATTTTTTCAATGTACAAACAAGACAACAACCACCTAGTTAGACTAGAGACAAGTTACTATCTCTTTGCATGGTGTTAGTTCAATGCAGTTAGCTACTGGGAGAAGGTGACTGAACAGTGATCTGTAAGTAGCTACTGAGGGAGAGAATAAATAACGCTTTGGATCCTAGCAGGCAAAAAAGCTCCTTCTTGAAGCCAAAGTCTTAAATAAATTTAAAATTAGATTAATATTTTTGCAATAATGGTTTATCCATAGGAATAATGTAGTACATCATTACCAGATTCTCCATCAATTGAAATCTTTAAATCAAGCTAACTAGCCTGTGATCCATGATGAATTTACTCAAAGAAAACATTGTGTCCTGTGTCACAAAACAAATCAGGATAAGAGACCATTAATGGTATTTTTCTGGCCTTAGTAACTGTACTAAACAGTCTTCCTTCTTCAGTGTATATAATTTATCTCTGCAGAATCAATATGTAACAACAGCCATGCCTTGGAAAGGGCAGTTAGGTTTCAGCTGTATAAAGAAAGGAAGGCTTTAGCTTCAGACATCTTACCACAGTTAAATTACCTTATATTCTTCTTCTATACTATTTACATTTAATATATGTGCAAATAGAGACTTAAAAGCACTCGGAAAGTTCTTAAGAGGAGGATGATAGTGTAAGAAGACAACGGTATAAGAGGATGGTAAAGAAGGGGATGATGTAAGAAAAGGATGTAAGAAGATGATGTAAGAAGAGGATGATAAAGAAGAGGATGGTAATGTATCTACCTTCAGTTCTAGTATTTATTTCTATTCTAACCAGAGTTCAAAAATTCACACAGAAGATAATACTACTAATTGTATGTTTGTTTTACACTGGTAATGGAAAACATAGACTCAACACTTAGTGTTTTGTTTTGTTTTGTTTTTAAGGCCTGGCTGTAGTATCTGCTGGTTACAAGTCAACGTCAGATTTTTATTTTTAATTTTTAAAGTTTGCAGATACCATGTTTGCCAATAAAAACAAAGAAAGAAGATACCACCAGTTTCAGGCTTGGCCTGAAGGCCATGGTCACCCAACCTAACCTATATATGTGCAAGTCATGGAAATTCCCTCCTCAAAAGAAATAAAATGTATCTTTTAGAAAAGTACCAGTTGTGTTAAAAAGTCCACAGCCTCTTTTGCCAAAGAGGTCACTGCACTAGAGGATCTTTTCCACATGCATTAGAAGCTTGTACAAAGGTCAAATAACTATTCGGTCAGATTTTCCATTTGATGAACCAAACTGAGATCCTTGAGCCTCAACAGTATAACGTTCTTGCCAATCTATCTTCTGAACTGTCTTCAAGCAATTCTACAAACTCCTTGAAATGCAGAAGCCACATGGTGCACTAGAGAAAGCCATAAGTCAAATTTAAAACTAAGTTTTGGTTGATCTGTTATGATTACATTCCTCATTTCTGAAAGCTATCAAACAGTACTGCAACTTTCCACCCTCTCAGAGAGAAACAAATTCTGAAGAAACTAGTAACACTTCAGCTAACAATAACTTCTCAACACATTAAGATGCACAACTTGTTAACAACATGTCTTAAACTCTTTGGAAAACACTACTGCAAAGCCTCCAGGCACCTGAGGGATGCTTTACCCTGTTCTCCCAAGTGGAGAAAGAAAAAAAAAAAAAAAAAAAAAAAAAAAAAAAAAAAAAAAAAAAAAAAAAAAAAAAAGACCACACTTTACTACTCCAGATAACTTAATCTGTCACTTCATGACTGAAGCTTCCTAAGCATTGCATCATCTGGTACCAGCAGTGAGCTTGACCACACATCTGCATCATGCACTGACAATATAATTTGTTTTATTATTCAACACACAGAACTCTCTACTCTTTGAGCAGCCTCCTAGTCAGACTAAGCCATTGCCACTGACCACCGAAACAGCCCAGAATTTCAATACCAGTCTCCCCTTGAACCAATCAAGCAAGAGAGTAATGACGCTTTTCAAGGCAATCTCCGCAGATCACCCACCTTGAAGGATGAGAAGTCATCAGGAGAAGAGGGAAAAAAAACCAACAGAAAAGTAATTACTTACTTTGGGAAGATGACAGTCATGAGCGCTGATGCATAACCAGGCTTGCACGTTCCCTCAGAGAAATTTGCATACTTTGATGCCAATTCTGGAGGCCTGGGAAAAAATAAGTAGAGAGTCAGGACTCTCCTGGCTATGAACTGGCTTTTGCAATCATCCAAGTTATTTTTTTTCCTTATAGCTTTTCTGAAAAACAGCTGTGAGGAGTAATAGCAAACACAGATGGGTATTTATTTGTGCAATATAGCATCACAGGAGAACCACAAACAAAGGACACGTTAAAGATATCTGAAATACCACTAAGCCACTAGTTTTGCTGAAAGATTTTCATACCTAGGAAGGTAAAGCTCATGGAAGAAAAATCTCAAGATATCGTTTTAGACTTCAACCTTTCAAAAGGAAGAAAACCTAAACAGCACTTTGCTTTGGCTATTTTTCTGAAGTATGACCAAAGTTAAAATTATAGAGAAGTATTATTTTGAAAATTATTTAGACGATACCTTTCAAGCATTTGAAACAAACTGCCGAGCAGTTCTGACAGGCTATCATCAAGGGATGCATGCTTTCAGTATTTGGAACAGATGACATTGCTGCTCTCTGTTGAGATGGGCCAAATTCAGAATATTGGGGGTTTTTTTCATTTAGTTTTTGCACAGAAACAGGATTAGCAACTCAAGAAAAGATATTTAAGTCCAGTACATACTTTTACCATAGATCTACGCAGTGACCCGGAAAAAACATTTAATTTTATTTGTGTCCCTATTCACCACCTGCAAAATGTTTACATTCATCCATTTCACAAAAACATTACAAGGGTTAACTCACTTGGGCTTTCAAAGTAACATTAGATACCTTAATGTCAGTCACAGTATGAGAATTATTAATACTTCCAAAAAAAGATGCATTTACAGTTACACGCTCAACATTCAGTGGAAGTTGCAAGTGTTAACTACCACAAAGAGTAAATAGGCAATACTGTATTTGCTACACCCTTTTGTAGCAGTAGGCAGGTAATGAAAGGTTTTTTCCTACAGGTCAACAGTAGGAGTCAAATGAAGATGACAGTACAGATCTGCAGAGTAGATCCACAAAAATAATTTTGAAGAGCCCATGATTATCACAACTATGCTTTCTTTTCCAGGCATCACCAACATGTACGTCACCGATATCACTTAACTAGCAAACTACTGCTAAATGTAATGAGCTCTGTAATTCAGAGAGTTTCAAGTGAGTGGACCCCTCAGCTGACGACAAGGTCCTGGAGGGATTGTGAGCAGTGGTGCAAACAGAATCCCGGCTGGCAAAATTACGTATCTGAATGACAGTACCTCCATGCTGAACTGGTAGTAACTATCCTTCTGGTACTGGTCCTGGGGTCACCTCCCAAGAGATCACTAGCCAGTTCCGACTGGGTGATCAATAGACGCACAGTTAATTTTACCATTAGCTGCATACCGTACAAAACCTCCTAAATCTGTACTTCTTGAAGAATAAAATCTATTTCTGCTGAATAAAAATCTAAACCTTCAGCAGCTGGAAGAAGAAATAAACGGGAGAAAATAAAAAGTCACTGTAAGTATTTAATTTCTTAAGACGTTTGCAGATGAAAAGCACTGGAAGAAGCTTAAGAACATGGACCTGATACTAAGTCTGCCACAGATTTCCTGCATAGTTTCAGTCAAAACATGTAATATTTTACTATCACAATTCCTCATCTATAGGATGGCAGAACAATACATTTGACTATTTACACTGTCAATTATTTACAGCAAAGTTTAGATTTCTCTAAATATATTAGACATGGAGAGAGAGATTCAGGTGTAACATTGTCTAGCACAACCCAAATCCACGAGTTCAGTTTCCATAGGTGATATTATAATACCTATCTCTAAATGAGAGAGATGAGAAAGCATCTAAGACATGAGCATCTAGAAGTTTGAATCCTGAAGACTTGCACGGAATGATTTGTGGTCTGACTCCAGTCAGGATCTCTTTAGAAACAGGCACAGGAAGGAAAGGCTTGTTGCTGACAAAACAGAAGGTTTTAATGATGCTAAAATATATCCCCTTCTGACACAGTCAAAAGGGACAGCAGGGTGTACAGGTCACAGCTTGTTGCAGCATTTCACATATGAAGAAGTGTGGGAAATCTTAATCTTTACCAAGCAAACTTAAGTGTTGCTGGATTTTTACTGTTTAAGCAATATACAGAAACCCCTAATACCAAAATCTTCAAAAACAAGTGGAAAGCAACTAGGATTTATCTGCAGCCACCACGGTAGTGAGTCATTGCTGGCAAACTTGCATAACTATTTCAACAGCAGGCCTTTCTCAAATGACCTCAGTGGTCACACAAAATATCTTGTGCCACAAACACAGGCATTTTTCTCTTTTCTGATTTAATGGCGCTTTCATTATCAAATTAAAATGTCACTCAGATGCCCATCATGGTGTTTCTGCAAAAGAATAGTAGGCTGAAACCCTCATGCGTTTGAGTTGCGCAGAATGCCAGTCAGAGCCGCATACTGATGGTGGAGCTGTCAAAACCCACAAAGATACTCAGAGCTGCTAAAGCCCGAGGGGCCGAGCTGTTAACATTTCTTGGATGTGATGAAGTTCATGATCCAGAGTGCCAGAGGCAGAACAACTCTCATAAGCCAACTGTAGCTGCCATCTCCTATCATTCAACATTTGCTCATCTCCTTTCTTCTAGCTGCATATTGAGCCAGTAGTCTACAGAAAAGTAGAAATGGGCACTCTACATTTTAAATTCATCTAGGGACACATTTTATTTGTTTGATTTCTTCAGATTATACATTATACACTGTCATTGCCAGCAAGCTCATAATGATAAGCCTACATTAGGTGTAACTCAAAGCAAAACATTTAGAGGAAGGCTGGATACAGCCTTGCTGTCTACTATTCTGCTACCACATGAAGCTATCCAAGCTAACATCATTTTAGATATATAAATTTGCTTTGTGTGTTCTCCCCCCCCCAAGTTTCACAGATCTCACAGAGATTGCTCTTCCATAAATCGAACTGCAAAACATCCTGCATGACGCGTCCCATAGAGAACTATACATTTTTCAAACAAATCCAGCTTTGTAAAATCACGCTGCTGTTAGTAGGTACAGTTTGTAACAAAAACGTGTACAGAACTGAAGTGTATGAATAAGCATCTCCTTCATATCTGATGACAGTGTACTTATTACACTGCTGCATATATCAATCCTTCTTTGATTATGTTTCTTCTTTCCAAATGGAAGAAGCACTATTACTGAAAGTACACTCTGCAAAGACCGCCTGACAAATTACCAAAACATGGTGCACGGCATTCAAGAGCTTATGTTTGATTCTCATTTTGTAATCCTGAAGGCTGCTTACAACAGATGGGTCAAGAACTATGCACCAAACCAAACAATATTACTTTCTTAGTGCTTTACTAGTAAATAGCTTCATCTCACTAGCTCCATCACTGTGACTGGAATCCAAGGCTATCACGATCACACAGAAAGCTGTTGTGGTCAGCCAGCCACAGCTATCGTGACTGTTACAGCACAAAGGTGCAAGTCTCCTCTACGTCTTCCAGGTCCAAGCACGTTATTTCTAGCTCCTGATTCTCATGCTCCTGGTTCAAGTGAAAGCATCAGTTGGGTTGAGGTAGTTAGACAGCTAGTGGAGCACAAAGGATGTAATTAGATGACACTGCTGACGCTTAAATTTTGCTCAGATTTTGTGCAGGAAAAACCCAGTAAGATAATGAATTTATCCAGAATAAATGAGGGAAACAATTCATAGTCAGTAACTGTAAACATCTGCAGTTTTTAAACAAGTGCCTGCATGAGGGTGAAGTTAAAGGGAAGTAATTGGCTTATTCCACTAAAAAGAAAATGCACTCTTGCCTTTTTTTTCCTTACTTTTCTCCTATGAGACTAGCACACATCCTGAATTCTTAAGATCTTCTGTGCTTCTCTACACTGTTATGTGGATATCAATCTTAAAAAAAAAAAAATCAGAATTTGGATAAGTTAAAAATCCAGCTGCTTTCAGAGGATTTAGAAAAAGTAACAAGATTTTTCCTTCTGCTTGCATTTGGCAGATGTGTGTCTTCTTTTAATCTCAAATATGAAAACATCACCATGGTTAATTCCTTCATCATGTCTTGATCAGGGACAGCATGTCATCCTTATAGGACTGGAATCTAAATCCATTTAAAAAAAAAAGAAATTACTAATACAAACTCAGTGTTTGGACTAAAAAAAAAAAAGCGCCTTCAACTAAGCTCACGTAATTGAATATTACAAAATCTACTTTAAGGGACAGATTTTGCCTCTTTCCCTTCCACATGGAATTACACTGTGGACTGTAAAAACTGAGAAATTTCATCTGCTTGAGATCATCTTATTTGAGGACTGAGTTCTCTTGATGTTACTCTTGCACAAAAAATATGTGTACTGATACGTTTCTGAAACGAGGAAAAGGAGTTCTTTGGCCTTGGGGTTTCTTTCTCTTTGGCCCAAAATAACCTGAGTCTTATACCTATACAGCAGCTCTACAAAGTGTATGTCATGATACCTGAAGAATGAAGAGAAGAGGTGATGAGAACATGAAATGAAAGGCACATAAAACATAGTGGTTATTATGAAGTAGTAATGAAATAATATGAGCAAGTAATTTGGGCAATCAAAAAAGGGCAGATCACTAAATCAAAGCAGTTAATGCTAAGACCCCATTATCTACACCACACAAGATTCCCCATCCCTGGAAACATTCAAGGTCAGGCTGGACGGTGCTCTGAGCAACCTGATCTATTTGAAGATGTCTCTGCTCATTGCAGGGGGGGTTGGACTAGATGACCTTTAAAGGTCCCTTCCAACCCAAACTATTCTATGATTCAGGGCATTTCATTTTAGATAGGACTCCAGTCAGATTCTCTGGGCCAGATGTATCCATCACATACATACATGGCTTAATGTTGGCCAAAAGGCCAAGTTGTAGTTTGGACTCTTATGTCTCCAATTAAATATTGTTGCATTTCGTAGACTCCTGGAATAAAGCTTTCAGTTTAGTTTCCCCCAAATAAGCCCAGCGCT